GTTAGTTCTCTGGGTTTGGGGAGGAGTGACTGCAGAGGGGCTGGAAAAACTTGTTGTTATTGACCCTGTGGTTCTTATTCTGTCAGGAGAATGGGACAGAGACCTAGTGTCTCAGAACATGGCTTGTCCTTAATGTTAAGCACAAGCGAGGCAGCATGTAGGGAAACTCTTAAACTGAAATAGGACACGGAGCCCCAGAACATCTGCAGGGACCTGTCCTTCTTGATCTCATCACACAGAAGTTTGAGTTAGGTTGTCTACAGGCTCTCCTGCATCATGGTTCTTTTGGTCTTTTTTGTTGTTGCTGGGTTTTTTGGGGGGTGGGGTGGGGAGTGGGGCAAGCCTCTCCTCGTAGCCTTGGCTGGCCTGAAACTGACTGTCGAGCAGGTGTCTGGTTGAACGAGCAGAGATATACTTGCCTCTGCTCCCCAAGGACTAGGGTTCAAGTGCTGAGGTGCATTACCACTCCCAGCTCCTCATGATTGCCTTTTCCAGCGGCATCTTGTTACCATGTTAAGTCTATGCCTGGGGCATGTGGCTTGTATGTTCGAATGAGGCAAATGTTATTCTATGGCTCTTTTATTACGCATGTGTGTGCCCTTACTACCTGGGAAATCACTGGGCAAGCTAAGCTAGTCAGCTTTAGGGTATCAAATAAAGGTTATAATAGTGTTCTTTATTAATGTATTAACTATACATAGAACTGTTTTAAATAGGACATTTTTGTAGTTATATGTACTTTTAAAATTTATATTTTGAGCCAAGGTCTCAGCATGTAGCCTTGGCTGTCCTGGAACTTGGTATGTATGCCTCTGCCTCCCAGTACTGGGATTGAAGGCATGTGTCACCGTGCCCAGCAATGTATTTTGGTCACAGTCACTCCCCCATGACCCTCGTCCTCTTCTCACTGACCCTACTCCTTTTCCAGCTAGTTCCCTTTCCACTTTCATGTCTTTTTTAAATGACCCAGTGAGTTTGGTTAAGTTTTCTGCAGGAGCATGGGTAACGTACCAGTGGCTACACGGTTGATGTTTCCCTCTCCCCCAGCAACCACTAGCTGCCTATGGATCCTTAGGGCTGAGTGGGACCCAAAGTGCCCTTCCTCTTCCATGACAGAATGCTGCCGCGCCAAATCTGGGGCAGGTCTGTGCAAGTTTTTATGAGTTCATGGGTGTGAGGGCCAGTTCATAGCCAGAATACAGTGTTCTACAAGACTGTCCCGTTCTCTGGCTCTGAGACTCATTCTACGTCCTCTTCTGTGATGTTCCCTGAGACTTGTTGGGGGTGATGGAGATGTCCTATTTATTACATCTGAGCAGTCAGATGTTTCATTTTCTCAATACCCTGACTAGTTTTTACAATAACCATTGCTCGCTGTGAGAAAAGTTTCTCTGCTGAGGCTAACATCAGCACAAATCTGTGGATACAAACACACATTTAGAAGGCACTTTGATGGGCACACTAGGTTTAACAAAAGAACAACCATAGCCTTTCCACTTGTGCCTATGACCGTTCTAGCCACAGGCTTTTGATCAGATTCACACCGCCATTCTTGAATTCACTCTTGTGGAGTGGGCCTGAGAACCACATAGAAAGCAGTTGTTGTCCCCATAATACCATGGCACTATTGTACCAGTGGGTGCATCCTGCCCTACAGGTCCGTATTATAGCATGGAGGGTTTGGTGCTGTAAGACCGTTGAGGTTTTCTCTCCGATACAGTGAAAGCAGCCAACAAGGAGGAAGCCTCCAGCTTAGTTCCATCTGGATTTCTCTGTCCTGTGATCAGAACATGCTGTGTCGTCAGTAATGAAGTCTTATTTCCTTCATTCTTGTGGGCAGCCAATAGCCGTGGCAATAGCCTGTATTGTTTGGGGGTTGAGGGCCTTCGCTGACCAACAACTTACAGGGAGGTAGCCCACCTCCAGCAAGGGCTTTTCATTGAATTTTTAGTTTACTATTCTAATGTTCCTTGTGCTGGATTATTATTTGTTCAATGATTTTGTTTTCTCTCAGATTTTACCTTTTTTTTTTGGTTTTTTTTTTTTTTTTGGTTTTTTTGAGACAGGGTTTCTCTGTGTAGCTTTGTGCCTTTCCTGGAACTCACTCTGTAGAGCAGGCTGGCCTCAAACTCAGAGATCCGCCTGGCTCTGCCTTCCGAGTGCTGGGATTAAAGGCATGTGCCACCACCACCCGGCTTCAGATTTTACTTTTACTATATCCTATTTCCCTGTATATTTGTTAACTTCATAGTCTTTGATGACTGATGGAATTTTCTTACCTGCTCCATTTACATGGCAAATACCTCTGGGATTTGTTGACCCTGTCCAGAAAGATATACTACCTGTCGCATTGAGGTGATGGAAGCAGTGTAAATTGCAATTGTAGTGATAACTGAACAGCCATGATTTCACTACAACTCACTAGTACTGGTAAATAAAGTGGTTGAGTTTTATGGTGTATGAGTTATTTCTCAGTTAAAACTACAGCTTGTGAATTTAAAATAATGATCTTGTTAATAAAGGAGTTTGAGATTCTGTCTTGATGACAAACTGATAAGTAAATGTAGGAATTTTGCTTGCAATAGATTAAGTGTTGACTGGTAAATAAATGTGTAGTCAGTGGTGGAATTAGAGGCATTTTGTAGTCTCTAACTTGGAGATTTGATCAATTAAAAAATGTAAGGGAAGATTTAGATCAAGAATAAGATATTTACTTAGTCTAGAAAGAGTTCTATGAAGACTGCTTGTTGTTATTGAGGGAAAAGTAGTAGAGAAATTGACCAGGTAATAAAATGGCCTCACTAGTAAGGGGCAAGTAGTAATCATGTGTCTCTACCAGTGACACCTTGAGAAAGACATATCTTGTTAGTAATATTCCTGCTGAGAATAGAAACTAAATTTAGTCATAGAGAAATTCAGACAAACTTCAAGTGGGAAATGATTTATTTTAAAAAAAAAGGGTAATAGGTTTGTATTGAAAAATGTTAAGGCTTGAGGCAGAACAGTGGAATGTGGCAATAGCCTGTGTTGTTTTGGGTGGTGGGCAGTTGAGGGCCTTCGCTGACCAGCAACTAATAGGTAGCCCACCCTGGGCAGTGGGATTTTCAATTAATTTAGAATGTATTATTCTAATGTTCCTTGTACTTGACTAATAATTTGTTTAATGATTTTTTTTTCTCAGATTTTGGTTTTCCTATGCTCAGTTTCCCAGTGTATTTGTTAACCTTGTAGTCTTTCTTTGAAGATTGATGAGATTTTCTTTTTCTCCCTCCCTTCCTTCCTTCCCTCGTTCCCTCCCTCCCTCCCCTCCCCCCTCCCTCCCTCCCTCCCTCCCTCCCTTCCTTTCCTTTCCTTTTTTTTTTTTTTTTTTTGAGACAGGGTTTCTCTGTGTAATAGCCCTGGCTGTTCTGGAACTTGCTCTGTAGATCAGGCTGTGATGTGGTTTTCTTACTTGCCCCATCTCCTGGGAGGAGAGATTGACCAGGCTCTGAATTAATACTGGAAGAACTGAAGTGGGAAACCTGGGCATTCAAGGCAGCTGAGAACTTGAACAGTCTGCACGGGCTCAATCTTATTATTACATCTCCTTGATAACAGAGTTATGAGTTCGCAGTTCAGCAGAGAAGCCCGCTTCACAGGCAGCAAGTTCAAGGTTTTATAAAGCACATCAGTGTTACTTGTTTTAAGAAAAATGTCTTGAGATATGGAACATTATTTGCCCTAATTATTCTCTAGAAATTGAGACAGATAGAAGGCATTCCTATGTTTCTTCTTGCTGTTAGCATTCCACATTCCCTTCTTGAGAAATAGCCATATCAGATATTCTCATTCTGTGTCACAAGTACGTTATATCCTCACATAGCTTTCAGTCGAGCCCCAGTAGTCTGGGTTTGAATATTAAAGAGAAAAAAAAAAAGGCTGCAAAGACTAATAGTGGTTTATTTGAAAGAACGGGATAGAACTGTGGTAGAGTTCTTTGCCTAGCATGTAGTGAAGCCAGATTCAATTTCCAATACTGGGGAAAAAGAAATCAGTGTATGCTTAGTTGATAATTATTTGATATTATGTTAAAGTCATTGAAGAAAGCACCCCCCCCCCACCCCCCGCCTTTTCCTCCCTTTGTGTCGGGCTTGAGTCCAGAGCTTTATGTGTGCTAGGCAGACATTGAGCTGCACACATCTCTGGCTCAAGCTAGTTCTCAAGGAATACATCGTGGAGAGTTGTGTGTCAAAGGGCAATGTATGTCATTCACTCTGTATAATTTTAGAAAAAGTTTGATTTGCACATGTATCCAGAGAATAGCGTTTTGTACACAAGCAAAGGATTAAGCAAGAAGGGCAAAATCTTAACAGTAAGGGTTGGTAAAGAGTATACAAGGCTCTTGGTATTAACTTAGTAACTCTGAGTTCAAAATTAATTTCCTTCTTTTTTGGTTTTTTGAGACAGGGTTTCTCTGTGTAGCCCTGGCTGTCCTGGGACTCACTCTGTAGACCAGGCTGGCCTCGAACCCTGAGATCCACCTGCTTCTGCCTCTGGAGTGCTGGGATTAAAGGCATGCCCTGCCAAGGCCCAGCTAAAAATTAATTTCCAATAATTGGGAAGCAGTTTTTCAGAGAAAAGTGTTTTAAAGATAGAAGTTTTTTTGTCTATTTCCTTTTTGTTTTTTTGATTGTGTGAATATGGATTATGCTAATGACTGTTGATTTCATTTGTTAAATTTTTTAGTTACATAATTGTATGGAATGTTTTTCATTGTGAAGTTTTCATGCCTGGGTATAAACTCCTTTGACTGCATTTCTTTTTCTGTGCTTTACCCTGCATTGTAGGCTTTTATGGGAAGGTGGAGGGGACAGACTATTTATGTTCATGCTTGAGTTTGAAGTTCTCAATGCGATTAAGTGAGATTCAGTACTAAGTGTGGACTAAGACGTTGTCTTAATACTTTAGCTTAAAACACTGCAATATAGTTGTGTTCATTGAAGACTTTTCTTTTTTTTCAGAAACTACAAAATGACAGATAGCTTGGATGAATTTATTGAAGAGCAGAAAGCGAAACTGGCCAGAGACAAAGCAGAATTGGAAAGTGATCCACCTTACATGGAGATGAAGGCAAGATTAGTAATTGTCTGCCAACAATTTGTTCCATCAAATTGGATGTGGGTGGTGCATTTCTTTAATCCTAGCATTTAGGAGGCAGAGGCAGGTGGATTGCTGTGAGTTCAAGGCCAGCTTGATCTATACAGCAGGAATTCCAGGCTAGTCAGAGCTACATAGTGAGACCCTACCTTACAAACAAACAAACAAACAAACAAACAAACAAACAAAGAGATACCCCCCCCATCCCCACCCCAACCAACAGTGAAAACACCAACCAAGCGTGTTTCACTGAGACATCTCTCTGGGCTCCACCAGTGAGACTCTCCTGTCTTGTACTTGATTTGATTAGTATACCCTTGTTCTGATTTGGAGAGCCTGACTAGATGTGAATTGGGAGATTTTGAGTTCATTTTTGGTGGGATTTTATATCTCACAATATTCTCTTTAGTTGGAGTTTTAATATGTTTTACCAAGATGAATAGGAGTCAGAAGGACCAGAAGTTAAGATATAAAAGCAAGTTCTCAGATTTTTATGTGAAAAAGAGTATTTAATGAGTAAATACGTTTTTATATAGTATTAGTAAATTTATTGGGGTAATTTATTTTGTACTATGTAACAAATCTTTTCTGTCCCGCCAGCTAGCACCCAAATAATGACACAGAGACTTCTTATTATTTATGAGAGCTCGGCCTGTAGCTTAGATTTGTTCCTAACTAGCTCTTATAACTTAACTCGTTTCTATTAATCTACGTTCTATCATGTGGTGTGACCGCTCTTCCGTCCTGTACCTTCTGTTTCCTCTCCATGTCTCCTGGTGTCCCCTGTGCACCTAGATTCTCCTCCTCTCTCTTTCTCTCCCTGGAAATTCCTCCTATACTTTCTGCCTAGCTATTGGCCATTCAGCTTTTTATTATACCAAATTACGTCTTCACACAGTGTACAAATATCCCACAACAGTACTCTTTGCTTTTTAGAACAAGTATGTTAATAGTTGTTTCTGAAAAGCAATGCTGGAAAGTTCTCTTAAATTGTTTTTCATTTTGACATGAGTGATGGATTCATTTAGCCAATACTGAGATTGTGCTTGGAGCCATCCTGGACTCTGGGAACTGCTCTGATGTAGACGGGTGTCATCCCTCACGGACTCAGTGTGTGGTAACAAGACACCGTCTGTACCATATGTCTGTATAGAATGGCTCGCCCAAGTCATTTCTGGCTTACCTTTTTCCCAGTGTCTCATCTGGGTTAGCATCTGTCCCACACAGAGATAACCAAATTATCATCATATAATTTTTTTTATATATAAATTTTATCTATAAGTTATCTATATACATTTTATTTATATAAGTTAACATATGAGTGGTAAATATGGATATGGCATAGCCTTAAAAGGTTATATTTCAGTGTTCTATTTCTTAATTATAATTTTCAGGTAGGTAAACTGAGGCATTGGGAAGTTAATGAGACTGAGATGCTGGAGTTGGTAGACAGTAAGTGCTCGTTCTTTTAAGCACTGCCCGTGGCTGTTTCCTTCCAGAGAGTCTGTCGTGTGCAAGGGGTTACATTAGGAGCTGTGTGTAGCATTTCATGTGTGTAGCATTTCATTTAGTCATAACATCTTTATCAAGTAGAGGCATTTTGTTTTGTTTTAGAGATAAAGAAAATGAGGCTAAAAGGAGTTAAATAGTTTGTTCAGGTAGACACAGGGATGGATTCAGCTTGGTACCCTTACCCAGTGGCAGGGCACGTTCATAGTTTAGGTCAACAAGGGTGGATTCAGGTTGGTGCCCTCACCCAGCTTCAGGGCATATTCATAGTTATTTGATATACGAGGATGAGTTTGCATGTTTGAGTGTGTTACTTTACAGCTTTATTAAATGATCTTTATGTACTAGTTTAAGAGCCACTGCTTGTTGAGGCCTTGCAGGCCTTCCCTCAGCGTATCTGGGCCTTTTAATCTTGATCTGTCTTTTGTCTTCATAGATCCTCCCTGTCGGGAGAGGGAGAGAGGAGAGGGAGAAAGGAGAGGGAGAGGGAGAGAGAAGAGGGAGTGAGGGAGGGAGAGAGGGAGAGAGAGAATGAGAGGGAGAGAGAAGAGGGAGAGAGGGAGGGAGAGAATGAGAGGGAGAGAGGGGACGGAGAGAGGGAGAGGAGAGGGAGAGAGACGAGAGAGGTATATGTTCATGTGAGTATCCACAAGTGCATGCGGAAGGAAGCCTGATGTCCACAGTAGGTGTCTTCCTCTATTACTACCACCTTCTTTTTTGATATGGGGACCTCTCACTCAGCCTGGAGTTTATAGAATTAGCTGTGCTGCCTGACTGATGAACTTCAAGATCTATGTGTCTCTGATTCCCCTGAGCTCAGGTTACAGACACATCTGCTGGGCCTGGCTTTTACTTGGATGTTGGGAATCCAAGCTTTGGTCCTCAGACTTTCAGAGAGCGCACTTGACTGACTGAACCATCTCCTCATCCCCACTCTTTACACATCATGCAGTCTAACTATTAGGTTTCTTTTGTGCCCCCCCACCCCCATCCCCACCCCAGCAGTGTATAAACTCTGTAACAGAAGCTTTCAGCTTTACTCTTACATTTCTAGTGTCATGCACAGTGCCTGGCATTTCATAGAGACTCACTTAATTCTAAGAGAGTGAGTTAGGTACCAGAACAGGTGTTACAGTATGTAAATAATTTCTGTTACTTTCTCAAACTTTTCTTCAATCTCTGTGCTGTGTAATTTTTTTCTAAGTTATTTAGTATGTTGAATAAGTTTTGAGATGAATTGTACATTTTGTGGCATTCCCCTTTGATTTATAAGTATCTTGTCTTTTCCAGGGAAAGGCACCAGAGAAACTCTCTGAAAGCAGCAAAATACTAATCTCTATGGCTAAGGAGAACATACCACCGAATAGCCAGCAGCCCAAGGGATCCTTAGGTATGGTGCTGCATTTGTAGAACTGATTATAAGATTGACTTAGCAGGACATTGTGAAAGAGGTTTGTTTCTTCAGCAAAAAGATTTCTTTGGGACTTTACTTTGGAATCTTACATATGGCAATACAGACTGCATATGAAGTGTAACGTGGAGAACTTCCTGGTTGTGATTGATGGAAATAATATTAGAAACTATGTGACATGCTAAAAATTAGTAACAAAATTTAAGAAAGTTTTGAGTGTGTGTATACATGAGAGAGCCTGTTTTGGTGATTAAAAATGATAGACTTGCTTTGTTTAAAATTCAAAGGGCCTGGCAAGATGGCTCAGCTGGTAAAGATGCTTGCCACCAAGTCTGAGGACCTGAGTTTCATCCCTAGGACCCACATAGTGGTGTGTGTGCACATACATATACAAATACATCATTTTAATAAGAAAGAATCAAGGAAGTATAAAGTATATGAAACGTTATTCAGGACCATGTTTTGTGTGGATGTGCGTGTGGTACACATAGAGACCAGAGGCCTTCCTTGGGTGTAACTCTGCAGCAGAGATTACTTTGGAGATAGGCTCACCGACCGGGAACTGAGCTTGCCAGTTGGACTGTGCTTGTTGGCCGTACTGCAGAGGTTGGGTTCCACTTGTTTCTTCCTGATTCCAAGCCTGCACCACACCCAGTTTTCTGTATAGGTGCTAGGGATTGAACTCAGGGCCTCATGGCAAGCTCTTCACCCATTAAGCTCCCCAGCCCAAGGACCATCCTTCTGTTGTTGATGACCAGATTGGAACTATAAAATTAATACTACACCCATACTGATTTTTAAAATTATGTCTTAGTATGAAGTATTTGGAAATTTTAAAACACAAATATTGTCAATAATATGTATCTTGTGTGATTCATGTATCTTGATGGGGATTGAAACATGTTCACAAAAAGTAAGTCAAATACAATCAATTCATTTGATTCAGTCATTGTTTTCACTGGACTAGTTTGTGGTCACAGGTGTATTCTCTGTTACTGCTTTGCTTTTATTATGTCACTGGGTGTAACTTGAATTGTTAAATGGTCTTTTAATGAAAAACCTGGAACGAGATATTGGGATAAATGCTGAAAGATCAGAGAGACAAAGGAACAAGCCACTGCCATGTCTCACCTCATCAACTCCAGGAATCCTCTGACTGAATGTTTCTGAGTCCTTACCCGAAAGGCATTTATTTAGCATATCCTTTATAGTTTGATTTGATCTTTCTATGACTGCTTGGCCTGTAGCATTGTGTGGTATGCCTGTAATATGCTTTATATTGTAGTACGCAATCAGAGACATATGCTGAAGCATTGCTAGTTTTAATTTGTTCAGGTATACCCATGATGGCCATAACTTCTAGCAAATGCATGATTACAGAATCAGCCTTTGCGGAACTCAGAGCAATTGCCCATTGAAATCCTGAATAGGTATCAATGGTGTGTAGTGTACATATTTCAATTTTCTAGATTCTACAAAATGAAACACATCCATCTGCCAGATTTCATACCTCTGAGTACCCTTTGGGTTACATCCTGCTGATAGTAGAGTCTGATTGTAAAAGAACAAGTAGGACATTTCCTTACAATTTCCTTGACTTGTTGCCGGGTTATGGAAAAATCCTTTTTTAAACCTTTACTATTGACATGATGTTTTTTATGAAATTCTGAGACCTCCAGCACATTTCCTATCAATAGTTTATCAATCTCATCATTAGCTTGTGCTAGAGGACCTGGCAGATTCATATGGGATCGGATGTGAGTTATATATAAAGGATGCTTCCTATTCCTGATTATATCTTGTAACTGGATAAATAATAGTTAATTCTGACTGATCAGGGATAAATTCAGCAGTTTCAGTATATAAGACCACTTTTTCTACATACTGAGAGTCAGTAACTATGTTGAGAGTTTCTGAAAAATCCATTAATACCATCAGAATGGCATATAATTCTGATTTTTGGATAGAATTATAGGGACTTTGAACCACTTTACTTAAATTTTCTAATTTGTAACCTGCCTTTCCTTGTTTGTTTGCGTCTGTATAAAAATGTTAGAGGCTCCAGATCTTGATGTTTCCTGTACAATGCAAGGCAGGATCCAGTTAGTTCTCTTGATAAGTTGAATTCTGTTGCTTTTGGGATATTTGTTGTTAATCTCTCCCAAAAAATTACTGCAAGCTCTTTGCCACGGTTCACTTTCTGCCCATAATTTGTCAATTTCATCAAAGGTACTACAATTTCTGCTGGGTCTATTCCTGCTAATTGCAAAGTCTTAATTTTCCTTTTAAAATCAAGTAAGAGATCTTTTCCACATAAGTTTTTAATTTTTTTACTCTGTTTATTTGGTAGAAATATCCATTCCAATATAATATCTTTTCTCTGCATTAAAATTCCTGTAGGAGAACATTTACAGGGTAAAATAACCAAAATGCAATCAAGCTTTGTATCCAAATGATCCACATGTGCATCCTGTATTTTCTTTTCCACCAAGGCCAATTCTTTCTCAGCTTCAGCTGATAATTCTCTTGGACTATTTAAGTACTTGTCACCCTTTAAGGTTTTGAGCAAATTACTCAGTTCATCATTTTTAACCCCAATAGTGGTTCATAGATTGGAAATGTCTCCTAATAATCTTTGGAAGTCATTAAGTGTAGCATGAATGTTAAAGAGTCTTATTAATAAAATCAAACCTGAACCAGGTATTGGGGTGAACACTGGAAGGTCAGAGAGACAGAACAAGCCACAGCTAACCTCACCTGGCCAACTTCTCAGCTGATCTTGCTTCCTTAGACTGGAAGCCTCTGTGTCCTCATATCCGGATGGCTCTCAGCTGAACTGTGCTGCTCAAAACCTAAAAGCTTAACCAGCCAAATGCTTAACCAGCCAAATGCTTCTAGTTTCTAGTCCTCAGGCTTATATATCTTTCTGCTTTCTACCATCACTTCCTGGGATTAAAGTCTCACTTTCTGGGATTAAAGGCGTGAGTCACCATGCTTGGCTGTATCCTTGAACAGATGGATTTCTGCCTCTGAAATGCTAGGATTAAGGCATGTGCTACCACTGCCTATCCTAAGTATCTAGTGGCTTTTCTCTTCTCTGACCCCAGATAAGTTTATTAGGGTGCACAATATTTTGGGGAACATAGTACCACCACAATTAAGAGCCTGTAATTGATCTTTCCTAATTTGTACCTTTTGAGGTCTAATTTTTTGTAGGCCTATTTTATATCCTAAATAATTAATAGACTTTCCTCTTTGTATCTTTTCAGGAGCAATTTGTAATCCCCAACAAGGCAAAATTTTCTTCTTCAAACATTTTTTCTAAAGTATCTACATTTGAATCAGCTAGTAAAATGTCGTCCATGTAATGGTAAACTATAGATTGAGGAAATTGTTTACGTATTACTTCCAGTGGCTGTCATACAAAATATCGGCACAGGGTTGGGCTATTTAACATTCCCTGTGGAAGAACCTTCCCTTGATATCTCTTAACAGGCTGAGAATTATTATAAATAGGCACCGTGAAGGCAAATCTTTCTCTGTCCTTTTCTTGTAAGGGTATTGAGAAGAAAGTCTTTTAAATTGATAACTATAAGAGGCCATCCTTTAGGTAACATAGTAGGCAAAGGAATTCCAGATTGTAGAGAGCCCATTGGCTGAATCATCTTGTTAATTGCTCTTAGGTCTGTTACCATTCTCCATTTACCAGATTATTTTTTAATAACAAATACAGGGGAATTCCAAGGGATGGTTGATTCTTTAATATGCTGAACATTTAACTGCTCTTGTACCAACTGTTCTAAGACCTGTAGTTTCTCTGTTGTTAAAGGCCATTGCTGAACCCATACAGACTTGTCTGTTAACCATTTTTAAGGTTGATGTCTTTGAAAGATTAGCAGCTCTTGTGCCCTGTTCTTGTACAATCTGGATGGTCAGTGACTGTTATTTATAATACCTTCTAATATTTTTCTCAGAAACATATGTTCGTTTATAGCTTGTTTCTAAGATTGGAGGAATGTTAATCTGGGTATTCCATTGTTGTAATAGATCACGTCCCCATAAATTCATAGCTATATTAGCCACAACTGGGTAAGAAGGGAGGCTAGCTAAGAGATAGGGTAGTTAAAGGACTTTTTCTGTCTTTATTAGAAAAACGAGCTGGAGACATGGCTCAGAGGTTAAGATCATTGGCTGCTCTTCTAGAGGTCCTGAGTTCAATTCCCAGTATCCACATGGTGTCTCACAGCGATCTATAATGAAATCTGGTGCCCTGCAGGCATACATTTAGGCAGAACATTGTATACATAATAAATAAATAAATAAATAAATAAATAAATAAATAAATAAATAAATAAATAAAACAAACTCAAAGTGATTGCCCTAGTATTGGTATCAGATAATATAGGTAGCTCAAGTTTGATTCTTACAAATTATTAGCTGATATGCAACTTTGGGGAAATGAGCTATTATATTTTAGTAAATTTTCTTTTCTTTTTTGAGACAGGGTTTCTATTATTTTCTTATTTGAAATTTGTATGAATTAAAATTCTAAGGGATAATTAAAAGATTTAATAGATTATTTTAGATACTAAGTCATTAAGTTCAGGCAAAATCATTCAGATTCTGGGGTTACAGTTTGACTTGATTGGCTTGACAGGCCTTTGTGATGTGGCATGTTTATTTTTTTTCTTATAGTATGGACAATGTCTCCCAAGGTTGTTATGAATAGTAATTGAATATGTATGAAAAGATAATTGACATGTAATTGGGCCATGAATAATAATGTTTCCTTGTGTTTTATGTCTTCTGCAAGGGAATTATTCTATGTCCCTTACATACAAGTACTATTCTAAAATATAATATGCAGCAGCTTTTGTCTGTTCTTAAATGGGAGTGACTTAAGAGTTCTGACCTTTGCTTCATAACTCCCCAAGTGACTGCATCCACTTACAGGACTTTTTTTTTTTTTCCAAACAGCA